TAATTTCATAATCTCACGTCAACCTTGTCAAATCAAAAATTAGCCCTACATAATGACAATATCTTGGAAAATTCGATCCCATTGTTCGCATCATGTATGTGTCGATCCAACGGTTAAAAGAAATTTAATAAAAACTTTAATAAAATCACTACCTCATATTAGAACATGATCAACAAAACTAAATATCTTAAACAGCTTCAAGATCATAAGACTTGATTAATTGACATTAAACTATACTTTGGATTAATAAATAATTATGTGTTTATGAATGCTAATTAAATTATGCCATCGTGCAAACATCGTTTTCTTTCATAATCACCTCTTTTTCAACTTATTCCAACTTTCGGTGCTTAGATTTACGAAATGGTAATTTTCTTTTCCTATCGTACTCATGCCTTTCGGAAGTGTGCAATGCACCTATAAATAATTGTGTTATAGCATTAATTAATTGTTGAAATCCGTGACACAACTTTAAGTGTTCATTAAAATAATTTCATTTATTTTTCCTAATTTCAAATAAATAATCGTAAAATTATTTATTGTAGTCGTTCCCTTGTAGTAATAATATTGATTTTGCTAAGTTTATGGAGTACTATTATTATTGTATATTTAAGATTCTGATAATTAAATATTTGATAACATTTTAGAGAAATGATGTTGTTGTCGTTATTATTTAGAGAGAAGGGGCCAAGAGAGCATTGTTTTTTTAATTATTACAAATAAATAGAGATTATTTGTTATAATTACTCATGAAAGTTCATCAGAATTGAACAAAATAGCCTAAATAGGAGGCAATTATGAAATATTTTTTAAGACCAAATTAAATACGATGGGTCTAATTGATTGAGAGATTTTGTATTCAAGTGCTATCGAATTTCTCTGTTTATCTAATAACGACATACTCGGTAGTTGATTAATAATTAGTGGTTATATAATTAAGATAATGCTTTAAAATCACTAATATTCAATCATATACACATGCACATATACAAATAAAATATTATATCTTATATGTATAAATATAATATTCAATGTTATACATTAGATAATGAGTATATCACGTTTTGAATTTCAACAATTAGTAAAACTTATAACAATATAAATAATAGGAGTACTTTATTTCATAATTTCGAACCAACCCACCGCTTCATAATTGTATTTTGCTTACAAGTGTACTCAATCATACAGTAGTTAATGGGACAAATTAAGGACTGATTTAACCGTATTGAGTTCTCGAAAATATACACATGACCAATCCTTCATTACTAATTTCACTAGTATGTAACCCGTGCGATGCACGGGTTGTATTTACTTTGGAGAATATTAAAAATTAAATTGTATTAATAAATAAAAGAGTGATAATACGTAGAAAAATTATCAAACCATAAAATGTTCCTCATGCAAAAAAATATTATTTAAACTTTCTTGTACACAACATTATTTGTTCAATAACTGAGCAATTCATCGTCCCCACAAACTAAATTTTCAACACTTTTCTATTATTTACACGCGAAACAAACAACATAATTGTCCGTGACTAAAAAATTGATTTCTTAAAGAACATGCCAACGTACAATAAATGTTGACATTGACTTTTCTTGATCTATTACTTAACATGCCAACGTACAATAAATGTTGACCTTGACAATTCATGACCTATTACTTACACGCGTAACAACGTACAATTGGTCGTGATAAAAAAAAAAAAAAAAAAAAGATTTTTTTAAGAACATGTCAATGCACATCTCTTATCTATTACTTACACATAAAAACAACAACATATAATCGGTCGTTGCTAAGAACCGATTTATTTAATAATATGCCAACGCACATAAAGACTGACCTTGATCTTAAATGAAACTCTAAGATTAAAAGTAATTGGTGCTCTAGAAGTTAAATGAAATCCTAATACGGGTCTTTTTATAAT